TTGATAAGATAGAAAAATGTGGGTTAGACAGCATCACCACCAGATGATTCGTAGCTGGCTGACCGGCCGTACTCAGCGTGTGGTCCTCAATGGAACCACATCTACATGGAGGGAAGTGTGTAGTGGGGTGCCCCAGGGCTCTGTTCTAGGCCCAGTGCTCTTCAACATCTTCATCAACGATTTGGACGAGGGGATAGATGGGGAACTCATCAAATTTGCAGACAACACCAAGCTGGCAGGAATAGCCAACACTCCAGAAGACAGGCTTAAGATACAGGAGGATCTGGACAGACTTGAACACTGGGCGCTATCTAACAAAATGAAATTCAATGGTGAAAAAAGTAAGGTTCTACATTTAGGCAAGAAAAACCAAATGTACAAGTATAGTATAGGTCAGTGATGGCGAATCTTTTAGAGACTGCCCCAAAACTGCCCCAGCCCACCCGCTCCGCCCCGCCCCAGTCCGCCCACGCTCTGCCCCCTGCCCCACCCACAGGGCTACCCACCACCTCCACGGCCCACCGCAGATTGCCCAGGTGGCCCGGCAGTGCCATGGCCACACCCTCCACCCATGTCCCGCAGCATAATCTGCGCACGATGGGGTACGAGAGCAGAGACTTGTCCCCGCTACCTGGCTGCCATGTCCTTGGCTGTGCTGCTCTGTGCGGGCCGTGCCCAGGGGGCGACTGTCCTCCATGGGGGCTGCTGGTGCGGAGGGGTCTGCGGGGGAGGCAGGGCTGGGGCGACGGCACATGTGCCCACAGAGTGGGCTCTGAGTGCCGCCTCTGGCACACATGCCATAGGTTCGTCACCACTGGTATAAGTGGTACCTTGCTCAATAGTAGTAACTGTGAGAGGGATCTCAGAATCCTAGTGGACAATCACTTAAATATGAGCTAGCAGTGTGCTGCAGCTGCCAAAAAAGCCAACACAGTGCTACGCTGCATTAACAGAGGTATAGAATCAAGATCACGTGAAGTATTAATACCACTTTACAATGCCTTGGTAAGGCCACATTTGGAATACTGCATCCAGTTTTGGTCACCATGATGTAAAAAAGATGTTGAGACTCTAGAAAGAGTACAGAGAAGAGCAACAAAGATGATTAGGGGACTGGAGGCTAAAACATATAAGGAACGGTTGCTGGAATTGGGCATGTCTAGTTTAATGAAGAGAAGGACAAGGGGGGACATGATAGCAATGTTCCAATATCTCAGGGGCTGCCACAAAGTAGAGGGAATCAAGCTATTCCCCAAAGCGCCTGAAGGCAGAACAAGAAGCAACAGATGGAAGCTAATCAAGGAGAGAAGCAACCTAGAACTAAGGAGAAACTTCCTGACAGTTAGAACAATTTACCAGTAGAACAACCTGCCTCCAGAAGCAGTGAATGCTCCAACACTGGAAGTTTTTAAGAAGAGACTGGACAGCCATTTGTCTGAAATGGTATAGGGTTTCCTGCCTGAGCAGGGGGTTGGACTAGATGACCTCCAAGATCCCTTCCAACATCATCATCATCATCATCATCATCATCATCATCATCATCATCATCATCATCATCATCATCAGTTTGCCTTCCCACAGGCCTCTACCTCCCATTTCCTCTTTTATTTTTGAAAAAAAAAACCCAAAAGTCATGTTGCACAAAATGGGCATTTGCTACCAAATTTTTGGAAATGCAATCTCAAGGTTCCGCAGCCATATTTGAGGTGCAGAGGAGACATGTAGCTCAAGGGCCACTGACCAAGACAGTGGCTATCACCAGTGCAGAATGCCGGTGTATTTAGTGACTATGCCATGGGATTAATGATTATCCTTGGAAGTTTTCAAGTTGACTACTCAATTATTGTTTTGCCACCCACTTTCAATTCCCTTTCCTGCTTGACTTGAGTTTGGCTGAACTCTGCTCTGACAGAAATCAGACTAATTTCCCGATCACAGAAAGGAAATAAAACAATTTGTTAACCATTAGCTTTTCCTTGCCTTGGTTCATCTGTTTGTCTTACACAAAGACAACACAAGGCTTTTGGAAACTAGCCAGATGTTTGAATGAACTCAGAAGGAACTGCAAGGGAAAATAAAAATAATGCTTTAGGGAATGAAGTCTTTGGACATGACATCATAGAAGGACTAGCCTCCGGGAAAAAAATATTTTGAAAGGCTTGGAACTATGAATGGGACATTAAAGGGGTGTTTTTCTGAAAAATAGACTTTGTATAGTACAGAAACAAATGAGAGAAGAATCAAAATGACCGGTAGGAAATATGCTTTTGAATATCTATTACTTGTCTCTATGTCTATTCACTTAAATAATTTTTCTTTAAAGAGTCAGAAATACATCAATCCCAAATAAATCAATCAGATAAATAAATATTACTCCTCGGTAAAGCAAAAGGCAGTGCACTAATATTTTTCAATTTATTAATATTGTTTACTCAGAGCAAGAAATCCATATGGGAGCAGGGAGAGGGGAGAGGGTAAAGCATTTTGCCAAATATAAACTTTAATTCTATAGAGTATGAGAAAAGAATGTAAAGCTAAAATGAGCTTGATAAAGACTGGTGCCATTTACGGATTGGACCAGAACAGTAGCAAACACATAGGATATTTGTACACAGGGTAAGATTACTTCAGGACTTTCAGTTGATCAAAAGAACATTTGTATTTATTCCCAATTTATTCTTGCTAGCCCTGTAGCTGCCTCTGAGCCACAACAATATCTGAGAGGTGACATTTTGTGTTAATCCAAGTGAACCCTTATGGTTCTGAACTTAGATGGAGGTGGTACAAGAGCCATTTCTCTTTCTGGATTTCCCTCCTCAGAGGAAAAACAAAGGAAGAAATAACTTTACCTCTTCTATGAGGTTGGCATTCAGTACCAACTAATTTCAGGCCTCCAGGGTTGAAAGGAGGTTGGTGTGTTGGATGATATGCAGAAACTAAAAAATGACATTATATCTTCTCCTGAAATGGCCTGGAAGGTTGACCTAGTGTCTTCCTTTCCATTTAGAGAAAGGGTCCCCAAATTCCCTTACTTTCAGTCCTTTCAGCCTACATTTAGCAGGGTTAGGAAGTGAGACTCCACTGCCTCAGTTGTCTCCTGTCTATCTTTGGTAAGATTATTTGGTAAGTGTCTCTATTTTACATATTTTACATCATTAAATAATTAAATCGTCATTGTTACTTCTTTCCTAGTAATAAATTAGCTGTGTGCTGCATTTTCTGGCTAGGGGGCAAACATATTTCTAACCAAATCCTCTATTCTTCTTCCATTTTATATAAAAAAATAGTATCAATAATTATGGAAATATGCATGGGTTTCAGCACAACTTTACATATCCAATTCATAGCTTTGCTGTCATACCTCACGGAAGGCTATCTTCAGCTCCCTCACGCCCACCATATGAGCTGTTTCTTCAAGCAGTTTGGGGCTCATCATCTCTACAAACTCCTCAAAATCTATACGTCCTCCCACTAAGAGGACAGATAACAAGAAATGATTAGTTCAATTGATGGAAGAAGCACTTTTGAATGAGGTAGGAGATGGTGCTATTAGATTTATAAACTACCTCTCATCAAGAGATTTATTTTATTTATTTATTTTACTGATTAGATTTATATGAAACTAAGAGTTGCATATAAATCTAATGTTGGAATAGACCAAAAACATGTCTAATCTAGCATTCTGTTTTCCCACAATGGCCAACTTTCAGAACTCTATAAGTTCTTACTGTTCCTATAGAGCAGAGGCCCCCAACCTTTTAGGCACCAGGGACCAGTTCTGTGGGGAGAGGTTTTTCTATGGACTGGAGGGGGCATGGTTTCATGTGCTGCCTACATCCCATGGATGGGGCTTCGCTTGTTTGCTTGGCCCGGTTTCTGGTATGCTGCGGCCTGGTGCCGGTCCATGGACAGGGGGTTTGGGACCTCTGCTATAGAGAAAGAATGAGATTAAGCTGCTCTTAGATTTCCTGTTCTCCAACAGTTCATAACTGTTGCTCTAGCATCGGTTCCATAAAATAAGATAAGACATGGGGGAACATGACGATTGAAAGTGTTTCATGGAGATTAGCATTTCTTCAACTTTATTGAAATGGTTTGTGGGTAATTTAAGAAACAATGTAATGAGCTATGAACATAACTCTGAATCTAATTTACATCCTCTAAATAACATTTCATCCCTATGCCTAAATAGTATGCAGTGGTTACTTCAGCTGCCCTGTCAGCACCCCATCCTGTGACTATTATTGACTCTGAGCCTTGGAAACTGGAGAAGCACATAAATATTCAACTCACTGCGCATTTTGATGTGCTGGGAGATCTCCAGCAGCTCCATCTCTGTAGGCATGTAGCCCATGGTTCGCATGCAATCGCCCAGATCTTTGTAGCTGAGGTAGCCATCCTGATCCGTGTCAAATTCCTTGAAAGCATCTAGCAGCTCTG